AAAACAGGTGACTTGGAAACCATGACTAGCTGCAAATGCATGAGACCAATTTGTGTGTGATTAGAATTATGCACAGGTAATGCTTTATACTCGGCAGAATCTTTCAGCCCAATGCAAATCACTAGCACAACATGCAGCAGCAGGAAAATGCCAAAGCCCTGGGACAGGGCTTGGCAGACCAGAATGCAGAGCAATTGGTGAGTGTGGAAACAAAATGATTAAGTTTCTCTGAAGAAACTTCAGTGCTCACTGTGGCAGGAATGCTCATTTGCAGCTCTTAGGTGTGCAAAGAGAGAAGAATCAACTTTGTCATTCCCCTGTTCAGTACTTTTTTCGGATGTCATCAGCAATCCCTCCCCAAAAGAACCTTCTTCTTTTATATATGGCTTTTCACATTTTCATTTTGGGGAGAACATGATAGTGCTGCCTCTCCCATTAAAATGAAATGAGCAGTAAAATGAAACATGCTGCAAACCACTTAGAGGTGGGCCCAGACCATTTGTGTGTGGGGAGCATGTGGGTTATTTGAATGTGTTGGTCTAGCCATTGTTTGGAAGAAGGGATGGAGCTGCTCAGCACGGTCATTCCTTAAGTGCAAAGGTGGTGTCATGGATGGAGAAGACCTGTGCAGTTTCAGTAGATGGGAAGGATAAAACCAAGTAGTATTAATCTCAACTACTGGGTTGTCATGGTTTAACCCCTGCTGGCAACTAAGCCCCACACAGCTGCATGCTCACCACCTCCAGTGGGATGGGGGAGAGAACTGGAAGGGTAAAAGTGAGAAAACTCATGGGTTGAGATGCAGACATTTTAACAAAAAAACCCAGCAGCTGTGCATGCAAGCAAAGCAAAACAAGGAATTCCTTCACCACTACCCATCTGCAGGCCATCCAAGTTCAACCATCCCCAGAAAAACAGGGCTCCATCCTACACAACCCGGGAAGACAAACACGATCACTCTAAATGTCTCCCCTTTTTTTCCTTCTTCCCCTCATTTTATATGCTCATCATGATGCCGTTTGGTGTATTTTGGGTCAGCTGGCCCAGCTATCTCTCCTCCCAGCTTTTCACGCAGCCCCAGCCTGCTTCTTGGTGGGGTGAGGTGAGGGAAACATCCCAGTATTATCAACACTGTTTCCAGCACAAGCCTAAAACACAGCCCTCTACTATCAGCTGTGATGAAAATTAACTCTATCCCAGTCCAAACTAGCACATGGGGAGAAAAATCTCTTAAAACAGAACTGACCTCTTAGCTTATTTTCTCCTGTTATGGCCATTGGGGATGGATTTCTTCAAGTAATAAAGAGAACATACACAGGGATGCAGCCAACTATGCTACTACATTGTCAAAAGGGAGCCAGCTGGAAGTCATGGAACTTGCTGCTGTTGCCACCCCAGTATCAAGACTGCAGTACATGAGACATGGCATGTGCCTCAGATCTGAGCTGCAAGGTTTCTGGAAAACTGCTCATGACTCGAAGAAATCTAGATGAGGCTTATATTCATATTCCTTTCCCTGTATCCTAAGGGCTTTGTTGTATAAAGCTTGCTAATTGTCTTTCATGAGCAGCAATTCACAGAAAGTACTGTCTGTGTATAACATGACTGAATTCAAACAGATTAAAACCACTTTATGAGTTTGTTAAAAGAAGGAGTGAAGGCAGTGTCAGAGGTTCAAATAAGTGCCTCTATGTTATGCTACACTCAGTAGCCAAGTTTTACTTTAGGTCTGCAGGAACATGAGAGACTTATGATGCTCCCTGCTTCAACCCCCACGTCCCAGCAGATTAAAAGCTGCAGTGTTGAAAATGCAGAAGTGCACCTTGAGCATTCTGGAACCTCTGCATCTACCCTTGGACAGCAAGTTGTTTCTCCTTTCTGGGGCAGTTTTCTCTCTAGATTTTGGAGCATCCAGTCCTGGGTGTTTTCCATGCTGTAGAGAACTCCAAGCTCTTGCTATCCTTCTTCTGGGAATACTGAAGAGGGCCAGTACAAAGGGAGAGCACGTTAAATGAGCCTTGTCTGCTCATTTAATTAGCAAGTAGAGATGCAAAGTCTACTCTTAAAGAGTATTCTGTTCCTTTCCCTGTCACTCACCTAAATACCATTTTGAAAGTGACATCTCTGGAGCAGGGACTGAGATACCAAACCAGCAGTTAGAGTCACATGCTTTCATTCTCATGGTGGCTTCTGGGAGTTACCACATTAGGGGGAATTCTTCTTTTTTTTCTATTCTTTTGTTTTTTTGTTTTTTTTTAAATGCACTATCCTTCAGCCACATTTGCTTCTTAGCATGTCCCAGCTGTACATTTGTCACCTGTGTTGGCCTCTCTGGGGTCAATCCTTGGAACTAGAAGAGATGCAGGGTTGCAGGAACAGCTAGGTGGTAGAGTTTGGGTAGAAGCTGTGCCCCTGAGTCAGCTCCTCTTCAGGGGTAGAAAATATGGATCCTCTATAGTGCAAGCAGTAGCTCAGGCAGGTGTATTACCTTGGAGGCGTGAGCAGAGCCATGAGCTTCCATACATGATGTCTCCATTAGAGAGAGACAAAGACTTGCATTGCATTATTGGGTGGACCATTTTCACCACCTAACGAAAGCCTAAATTCCCATTGTCCCCACAAATTCCCCAAAGCTGATTCACCACTTGAATTAAACCGTAATTATATATTATCAGCAGTCACTTTATAGTAAGGTTGAAGGATTAAATGCAGTTAGTGGTGATGAATTCCAGATGCGCAGGACAGAAGCCTGAAGAGAAGGCCAGCCTCTGAGTAACTACAAGATAGTGTAATGTATTCTAAATATTTGATTCAATTAAGCTTCCTTCTGCTCTTTGTTTCAGCTTACAGATGGCTCATCAATCTATAGTTTAGGGACACATTGCTATTCTTTCTAATGGTAATTAGGTGATCAGTAAGGAGACAGGTTTGATGAAATGCTCACACTATGCTCTGCATATTTAAAATGGAACAGAGTCCAAAGCAGAGGCAAGATGCTAACCTGCTACTGCACCTGGCTTCAGCCTCAGGCACTCATAGGTCTTCCTCTAGCACAGGTAATGGGGACTTTGACAGTTCCCACCATTCAAGGAGCAGGAGTTTTTGAATTCATGAACTATTATTGTTTGTACTGGTTTTGAATATTGCTAAACTGTTATTTGACAGTTTCTTGCGAAAATACTCATGATGCTTGCCCATTTTTGGCTCAGCTTTACTGAGAGAGGGTTCTTGCAACTTGGAAATGAGTAGCAAACAGTTGCAGAGTCTGTGATCAATCTTCCAGTGACTTCTGCATGTTCGGGAAAGGCCATCATGGTACTTTTAGGACAGGGTATGTATTCTTAACAGTTTGTAGCTTGCTCATGATTATGAGTCTACAGCCTCTGAAAGCAGAAATATTTGAGGGGATGCCCCAGCTGTGAAAGTGTCCCATTTTGAGTTTTTAACCCCTACAATTTTTTGTTATCTACTGACAAAGTAAAATTGTAAAGTAGAATGTGGCCAGAAGCTTTGCATGCAAATGTATAATGATCCTGTACATTCCTTTAGCCACTCTATCTGAGACCTGTTATAGTAATTAAAAATTTAATAAGGTGTTATTTCTTTTATGCAGATTAGAAATTTGAGGCATGTAGAGGTTTGAAGCTCTAAGGGTAAAACTGCACTCAGGGAAAGAAACTGGGCAAACCTTACCCCCTATTTAAATTCCCATTTAAGGGCCACATGCACATTGTCCTGGCCTTCTCACAGACATGGATTTTGCAGTCACTCCTCAATGCAGCAAAGTACTTAAGCACATCCGGACATGCTCTGCTGAATCAGGGGTTTAAGTGGAAGTGACAGAAATAGAATTGAGATCTCAGTCATAACCTCATCCTGAAGTCATCAGGCAATGCCTCCTTTCTTCACTGCTCTCCCACTGCAGCAAGCTATAAGTGTCTGAGACAGGCAAGACCCATGCCTTGAACCTCTGCCCCTTACCAAAACCCAGGCCACCCAGCTGGAATTTCGAAAATATGAGCCAACTAGGCAGTTTTAACAATTCTGAGACTTGAGATCTTTGTCCCCTGGTGCCTTGAGTCATTCAAGTGTACTCTTTAAGCAAATGGGAAGTCGTACTCTTTTAGCTGTGATACAGCTCCTACAGGAGATCAGCAAATCTAAAGATCTCTTTGCTCTCTACATATGGTACCCTTCCAGTGTTATCAGTCCCCCAAAACAGTTACCAGTGAAGCTTTTGTCTGTAAAATTCTACTTTCAGTTTCTTGTTTATTTCATTAGGTTTTATCTGAATTTAAGAATTTCAGGCTGATATTTTGTTACATGCTGTCTAGGAAAGGGAATCTCTGCTTGCAGTACTGATTTGAACAGCCATTTAACAGCTGTACTGTGTCCTCATACAATCATACCCTTCTGTAGACTTGCCACCAATGCCACCAGTGCTTTCACCTTTCTAGGAAACAAGCACCTACCAAGTTGCTGCTTTGAGGGCAAGAGGGAGGGAGAAAGGAAGGAGGGAGAATTGTTTTGGTTTACTTCTTGCCCATCTGCTCTTCCTCATTCTGACTTCACAAAAATCTGCCTGTACTGTTACTTAGGTGAAAGAAACCCAGTCCTTGTGCACAAAGGTTTCAGAGAGTGCAAATACAGTATTGCAAATATACTACAAATACTGTTTGTCCTTTGGCAAGCTTTTAAAGAGAACTTTTTTTTTCAGATCATGTCTGTTTGAGGCTTGTTATGTAGTACTCTTCAAGGATAAAGAATGACTTTCAATATTCATAGTTTGAGAAGGCTAACAATCTCCTTGATGTCATTTCATTAAAATCCATTTTTCTATTATGGCTATAAACATTAGTAAACTCCACTTCATTTCCTTTTGATAGTAGGACTGATTATTTTGCTACTCAAGAGCTTCTTTTAGGATAGAAAATTACTTTGTTGTGTTGACTCACTTGGAACTCAGATATTCAACAGAGGGAGATTTTTTTCAACCACTGTCTTACAAGGAACATTTCCCATAAGTTTATTTGCTTTATTACAATTAAAATAAGAAACCATGGTAGATCTCAAAATAAGTCTCTCTTCTCTACTTAGGCACCCTTAGGATGCTGCTGCTCCTAAAGTCTACTTTCCCAGCTATGCTATCCAGTGGAGATACAGGTAAAATTACCATTTGTGATACTGCTCCACCTGCATTTTTCCTGATGATTCAACGCTGCTCGTTATTTCCCATCTGCTGGGCTCCCTGGAGTTACAGCTTGAATGCCAGTGTGACTCCATCCGCCATGGGGAGCATACTGATACTGACGCGGGAATCTCTGAGCAGCTTCTCATTGAGGCGGTGGATGCTCTGCACTGCCAAGTCGTCCTTTCTTGGTTTTAGTACCTTTCCACTAAAAAGGACCTATTGAAAGAAGAACTGTTATACATCTCATTTGTTCCAGTATGGCCCTTGGACCATAAAGGACGCTTTGGAAAAGGTCCAGTATATTTTTTAGAAATTTATATTATTTACTGTATTTCAGACTTCTAATGGTCTCTGACTGTCATTAGTAAGTGGGATTGGGAGTCCACAGAATTTGCTAATTATAATTCTGCTGTAGATTAGAAGCTAAAATTAAAAAAGATATGTTTAAACAGAGGGTTTTTAAAAGCCCCTATTTTGCTGCCACCGTAACCCTCAGGGTGCCTGAAGTTTAACATTATTTGTTTCTAGTAAAAGTTAGCAATTAATAACTTATTAGTAGTTACTGATTAAAAGTGCTACTTTTGATCTCGTGTAAGTACAAGGTATTGTACATTGTACTGTAAGTACTGCACTACAAGACAAACCAGAATAATACAGAGAATTCTCTGTAATGAAATACAAAAAAAATTTCTAAGTTTCTGTTATCACAGACTGTTTTATGTACTAATGTAAATTTAACACATTACTTTTAACTTCAATAGAGTTTTATTCCTTCCCTATACTAGTGTTTTGTATAGCTTACTTTAAGTGTTTACGTTGAATTTTATTTTCATTTGTATAACATGGAACAAACACGTCGCAATTGGCAACCCAGCTGCAGGTCAGAAATCACTTTACCAGAATCCCACTGTGACTTTCCCATAGCCAAAAGCAGTAACTCCCTGTGCTATTACCGCTACAACTGCAGTACTTACATTATCAATGGCTATTATTCCCCCTTTCCTTATGAGTCGCAAACATTTTTCATAGTACTCATTGTAGCTTTCTTTATCCGCATCAATGAAGGCAAAGTCAAAGGTTTCTGCTTCTCCACTGGCCAGCAGTTCATCTAGATGAGCAACAAAGTGAGTCGTTACACCCTGGTTGATGCTGTGGAGGAGGACATAATCCACTTCTGTCAAAGTTCTCATTAAATAATGTTTTTTGCTGCCTTGACCAGGCAGCCTATTCCTCCACAGGTAATTACTAGAAAAGCCTATCCCACAGAAACCAATCTAGACATGATGTATGCCATAAAACACTCAGTTACCGAGTTCTGCCTGCTTAGGAGTTCATGGAGTAGCTCTAAACCTGCAAGATACAGCTGGGACTGCTGAAAGGTGCAGTAAAAACAAGTCAAGCAGTTTGAAACTGGACACATTCTACACCTTGAGCTGTTTTTGAGCTGACTGAAAACTGTTTTCTTGAGTGGATTAGAATTTTTCTCACATTTATGAACAGGTTCTAAATGCTAATCTCTTGTTGAAGATCAAGTGCCATGACAGGTCATGAGCAAACTCTGTCAGAGATATTTATCACAGCAAAAGATTGATCTAAGTAGTCCCTCTCTGGGCTGAGGCAAGTTACATTCAGTTTTAAGTTCTCCTAAACAGACTTCTTGACCAAGAACTCCAAATTGCCAGTTGTGGATGGCTGACTGCTGTTTTCTAAGGTTCACTGCCACCCCTCTCACCTGCCCTTACCATCTGTCAACAGAGCATCGTTTCTTCAGAAGCAATGCCTAGAAAAAGTTGTTTGATAGACTTCAAGGGCAGTGTGTACTAGCAATGTGCTTATATTTGCCTCTTAGGAAAAGGATGGATGAATTTGGAAGTAGTACAAGGTTATGAATAAATCTGTGGATCCATCAAACACCTCTGTCGGAAACCTTCTTCTGCCTCCAAGAATCCTAGAAAATTTCTGGCATTTTCCAAATACTTATGTTTTTACTCTGCCCCACACTTTCTCTTTCCTTGAATGAGAAGAGTAATTACCTTACTAATGGCCTTACATGCTTTTAGCACATCCTAAATTTGAACTTCTCTGAATACAATTCAACTACTGCACCCTGAGTTTTACATAGGCTTCTGAATTTTTTATGCACTTAGCCCTTTCAGAAAACTCTTCCTGTCTGTAACAAAAGAATTGCTTAGAATGGACAATAGATAACAGAAACTGGTCTTTGTCTAACTAATCTGTTTTAATCAGCTTTTCAAGCACTAGCTGACAATAGTACTTCATGGATTAAACGAAGTGATGGACAGGACAGGTGAGGACTAGTACAGCCCAATACATAGGAGTATTTTCCTCCTCTCTGCTAGTAGGTAGGAAAGCTGTGAACTTCTAAAGATTTTTTTTTTAAATGTAAGAGAATCTGTTTGTTAGCAAAAGGGATCACATTCTCAACCACATTTGGTCTTACGTTTCATCACTATTGTAACCTTCTTCTATTTCTAGGGAAGGGGGAACAAAAAGTTAATTTAGGTTACTTACCAAGTGTTTGAATTGCTGGCTTGATCCGTAGGTCAATTTTATGCTCTACTCCTGCCTGAAATGAAAAAGAACAGAGAGTTGTTATAAGTGGTCAAGAAATAACCTGTTAGTAGATTGCACTCAGAGAATGACCGGTGTTCAGATAGCTTTCCTATTATTTCTAGGTTCCAGATACCACGTATTTGTCTTCCCAAACTGAACTTTTTCAGCCTCCTTTAATGATAAGAATACTTCTGTGTGAATGTGCAAGTCTAAAATACCCAAATCTCTCCACCTGTAAATGCAGCTGTCCCAAGTGTGTAACAGGAGATGTGTTGCTTACCTCCTTCCACAGTGGCTTTCCAATTTTGGCATAGTCCTCGTTTATATCACAGGCAATAACTCGGCCATTATCTGGCAGGACAAGTGCCATATTCAAGGCATTATAACCTGTGAAAACACCTAGGAAAATCATAGGAGTTATCAACACTTACTGTATTGTGGAAAAAAATAAATAAGTAGTGAACTACGTGGCTCTCTTAAGGAATAAAATCCCTAAAGGAGTCAAGGATGGCAATTTGTTAACAGACAGTAGAGATTTTCCCCTCCATTTTAATGTAATGGTGGGTTGGGAGAAATTTTTACTTTTTTACTTTTTTTTAAAATCAGTCTTTAAGCAAATCTTGGCTTTTTCCAAAAGTCTCCTGGACAGACAAGGCCCTGCATATCTGACCCAAAGGGACTGGATGAGCAGCAAAATACCAGGGCAACTTAAGAGCCAGGCCATGAACAAAGATAGTGGGAACCCATACCTGGCTTTGGGACATCCTGCTAACATAGGTGCATCAAGGAAAGTGGATTGGATTCATGGTCTGTACAGCAAAATACTTTCTTCTGGCAATAAACTGATACAGAAAGGAAAGAATAGACCCTGTCCTGCAACTGCTGGAGACCCAAGTGATCTAGTGATCTGATTTTTTCAGACTCCCTCGGAACTGATGAGCTATTCATGCTGATGCCAGAACTACTGAATGGACAAAGTGGCAAGCAAGTGCAAATTCGACCATCGTTTTCATGCTGTAGTTTGACCACCTGTGTGCTAAGACAGGTATGCAATGCCTTACTGTATTTGGATATCTTATGGTATACATGGCTGTATTTGGAGAAGAACAGTGAGAAATTTTACTACACAGTGACACTCTTACCTATTTCAATAACTTTCTTGGCTTTAATGAGTTTGACCAAGTTTGCCATAAGCTGAGCCTGGTCACAAGACACCATCATTCTGCCCCAGGGATGCTCAGTGGTGAGCTAGAGAGAGGGGAAAAAATATAACACATCACAACAAACCAACCCCCAAGTTACCAAACCAATATTCTAAGGGAAAAAAGGTGAAACTCCAGGAAAAACAGATAACCCTATCTTCTCATTTTAGATGGCTTTGTGCTCTATCTAGGAGCCAGAAATTGGGTTGAATTTAACTGTAACTAAGGAGGGTGTAGTGTGTATCATAAGCAGTGGATATTCAAAGCAGTAATAAGCCTCAAAGTTACCAGAGCTGTGGCAAACTCAGCAATATTTATAACTGGTGAAAAATCATAGGGCAACCTTGACTGCGAAAGTCCTTTGTTTCTGTGAATTTACATAAACATGTGCACTTCCTTCAAGACATGTAGAATGCTTTTACGAACTGGTGGTTACCATCTGATTTTATGCAGGAGTAGTTTGTTTCACCTGAAATGACTCGATCCTGAGTCACAATGTCATGACTGATCTCTGACACTGGAGCCTGCTGGAGGACATCACCTCTCCCTGCTACAGGTTCCTTATATGCCAACTAAAATGAACAGAAGTTATCTGTCGAAGTCAAAATCAAATGTATCCCAAACACATGGACTTGGGAGCCAGAGATAGAAAGACATGTCTAAAATTTATGTCGATGCTATTCAATACTCACATAGGTAACCCTGAACATTGAAGAATCTGGGTATTACCAGTTCAGAAAACCCGCTAAGGCATATGCAAATAAGATGGAGGAAGGAATGTCAGAAGGATCCCAGCAGTTCAGGATGAGGTATGGGAGATACTGACCAGACGCAGCTTCTTTAGAATTGGATGTTCCCGCAAAGAGTGATCCAGTATGTATTGCCAGAGAGGGCTGTTTTTCCCAATTAAACTCTTGGATGACTTTGGTGTCCCAAAAACTAAAGAAGGGTATCTTTTACCTACAAAAAGAAAGAAAAAGGAATAATAAGAACTTTTTTACTTTTCAGTTATTGGCTCTTTAAATAAAGCAAGCATTGATGTGTTATGCAAGGTAAGAAAGTTCTTAGCTCTAAAAAATCTGTGAAAATGGAATGCAGTTGGACAGCTCAGTGGACTGTCTTTCCTGCCCTCTTCCACCCCCTTTTTAACCTCTAAGATGTCCAGCCCAGGCCTGCAAAGGCTGAAAGGGAAAGGCTAGGGTATTTGTGTTGTTCAGTGGCTGATGTGATGCTTACAAGCTGCCATACTTTTACAGGACAAGCAACCACATCAGAACTCAATGGACAAGTTTAAGCTGAGAAACATGAATGTGACACACTATTTTCTTAGTCTAGGGTCCTTGTTTTGCAGATGAAAAGAGACTGCTGGTTTTTAGGGCTGTCAGCTGATACATCTTCTCAAGCCCTGTGTTCTCCTCATGACACGGTCCTGGGTCCTGCCCTCTAGCCAGAGGAAACCTGGTATTGCTCAATGGCTTGTTTAGCATGAAACCAGTAGGCAAATAAAGTAGGTGCTGAAGGCTGAAGTTTAAGGGCTATTGCATGTCTACTCAGATACAGAACTCATTGTACCTCTGATGCCCAATGCTTCTTTGACCAAATGGGTCAAATATTTTAAAGAAATAACAACATGCCCATATCCTGGTAGTGTTTGCTATTAAAAACCACTTTTATTTTGAGGGGTTTATTTTCTGTTAATCACTCTATTTTACAGACGATCATGCCGAGGTCTAGATTATTTCACCACTCGCTTGAAGTCAAAGAGTAAGTAAGCAAGTGGCCGCGTTACAAACCCAGCACCAATTTCCTTTCCCTGCCGGATCGTCGGATCGTTCTTCCGCTGATTCCGTGGAATGAAAGCGAAACTGTTACCGGAAGACAATGCCGTGAGCAGGGCCCGCACAGCGGCGTTCCGGGGATGGCCAAACGCACGCAGGCAGGAGCCGGGCGGGGTAGCACGTCCTCGCCTTCGCTGGGACTTTGGCGCCGGCCCCTCAGTGCGGTAGCTGGATTACAGGGAGCGGCTTGGGCTCTAAGAGCATCAGTGTGTTTACTGCCACAGCTCAGCGAAATAAATCCCTGCCCGCAGGGCAGCGCCCAGGGGTCCATCTACTCCCCCGACGGCCGCCTGGCTGCACCCGCGGCGGGGACTCCTGCCCGCCCTGCGGAGGAAACCTGCCCGGGAGCCGCGGTTCCCGCGCCCTCCCCGGTGGGGACACGAGGGGGGCGCAGCCTCCACATCCCCGCGTGTGTGCCGGGTGTTGGGGGGCGCCGCTTACCTGCCAGCACACCCGTGGCAAAGGCGATCCCCAGCATCGCCGTCCCGACGGCCACCTCTTTGGGCACGCTGAGGAGCGGCATCCCGGAGCCGGGCGGGAGCGGAGCGGCAGCGGCGCAGCCCTGCCGGTCACACGCGGCGGGCGGGGCGCTCCGCCCGCCCCCGGGAGGGCGGGGACGCTCTCCGGGCTCCTGGAGACTGCGTTTGGGTCCGTCCAGGTGGCTCTTACGGTGCCCGCTCCCGGCGTGTCCGATGCTGCGCTCGGCTGGTGGGTCATCCATATGGTTGTGGTGTGTAAAGTGACGCCTGGGATTTGTGCTCCCACCTCCGCAGAGGCTAGTTCTGGTACCGCTTCACTGCAGTCTTCGTTACAAAATGCACTCAAATATCGTGTGAGCTGGTAATGGGCTCTGATGGAGGAGCTTTTCGCAATGACTCCTGAGAGCCTTGGTCCTCCAACTAGCCCAGGAGGTGAGCTATCTCCTTCCCTCAGCACAAACGTTGTTTGCGGAGGTGTGAGCAAACTCCTTATCAAAATGCACGTAGAATTTTGGGATTTTAGTCCTGTGACCTGTGAGTTTCCAGGTCAAAGTGGCCAAGGAAGATTCTCCAAGAGAGGGGAGAATGGGACCTGTTTTTCTCTCCTGGTGTTTCAACCCCCTCTGCAGTGCCTTCCAGGTGAGGAGCAGCAGTGGTGAAGGCAGCCTTGTTTAGGGGTATTCTCCCTGGCCTAGTCCGTTGCTGAGCGAATTGATATATAAGCCAACAGTGACTGTGTAATCATATTTTTTAAAAGTCAGCCTAAATCTAACTTTTTTCCTCTTTCGTGAAAGGACCTTGCAGTGCCTTTTGGAGATGGGCCAGGGATTTAGTTTTCATTTTTGTGAAGTGTTGGAAATATCTGGATTTTGTAAAACCCAACCAAGATATAAAGTTGCTCTACAGGAGATGAAATTAGCAGTGTTGCATAAAGATCAGAATATACAGAAATGGAGTGGGTTGCAACTTAGCCTCCACACATGTAGAATGAGAGCAGGTAAAAATTCCCTTTTGGCATATAGTAAATCTCTAGGAAGCCAGATGATTTGTGTGTTGGTAGGTTTGGATGATAACTTTTCAACTATTTTCCTATGCTAGCAAAACTATCTAGTGTTAATGCAGTTAGAAGAAAAAGATTCTTCTTTAAATACATCTTAAATGGAGGATTAAATATATTACCAGAGTACTGACAGGAAGTGGGTTTGCCCATCACTGCATTTTAATTGTGTATTAGACCTTATTTATGAAGACTTGAGCCCAGAGCTCTTGCATCTCTTTTGCAGCAACTAATCATATCAATCACTAAGCAGTCTGCTGTGCCTTCTGATTTGCAGAACAAAGCAAGACATATGATCTGTCTTGGCAAATAACTTTCAGTTCACTTCTAAAATTTATTTGATTTTAAAAATTAGGATTGTTGTTTTTTTGGTGGCTTTATTTTTTCATTCAGTGTCTCGTCGCTTTCTCTACGTACATTTTGCTTTGGTAATTTTTTGTAAATGTTATCCCGTCTTTCAGAAGATGAGTTATCAGGATGCACTGGAACGTGTCAGTTTTAGGAGGCAACAACTCTTCTAGCAGCCATAAATCAGATTTGTGACGGTGCGGCTCCATCTAGTGATTTTTCTCTACAACTGCAGCAGGAGGGAAAGTAACTCTGAGTTACTCTGTTTGTAAACTTCCAGTGTTCTGTTGGCCTCTCGACTCTCAACTCGACGAGGTGCCTTACTTGAAGCTGTCTGGGATCTTCAGGTTCTCGAAATTTTCAAGAGAATTAGTGAACTGAATTGCTAACATACTTGAACGTATGTCTGAAACTCCCCCTGCCCTCCCAGCCCCAAAACTGTTGCTCAGTAATAGCTTGCCTGTGGTGACAGTGTCAGGTGTTTTACTGTGTTGTTTATTGGACAACGTATTGTTTCCTTAGACAAGGAAGTTGATTCTCAGATATCTAAGACAAGGAAGTTGATTCTCAGATATCTAAGACAAGGTAAACCACTTTCTTAGGGGAGGCAAAAGAGTTAAAGTGTTTCAACTGAATAAAATGGCACCAGCTGCTTTTCTTTGAGCCGCTGAAATTTTCATTTTACATAGCTCTGCGATATATTATTGAACAAGAAACTTTGATTAATCAGATTAATTAGATGCTTGCAGTGTGCTGTGGTTACTTGAGCGTTTAAACATTTTGTCAGATTTCTGCCTACTACTTACGCTGAGTAATGTGAAGGCTACCTACAGATAAAAACTGACTGTGATACAGTCTTGGATGCAAACCCCACTGCTCCCTATATCTGTAAGGACAGTCCGGTTGCACAGATTTCACAGGAGATCAGGATTGCTCCCAGTGTTGTAGACAGTAGGCATATTTACTGTGCCTGAAAGGGCCTTCTCTCTGGAACTGCATTCTTGAAAGGTTTAGGAGGGTTTTGGCAGCATATTCAGACTGGAGCCAGAACATGATTGCTTTTGTGAAACATATGGAGTAGGACAGACAGGATAGTCAGTGGTTGACCTCAGGGTGTGCAAATTCTCACTTTATTCATATTGCTAATCTATCCTCGTTTCACAGGCACTGTGTAATTGATATATGTAATAGTCTGTTCTACTGGAACCTTCCTTACAGGAGTGTTTTTCTATGTAAGAATGTTGCACACCATCTACCTTGGTGTCATTTAGCTGTGTAGACTTACTGTAGCAATGGGATTGGCAAAGCATTAGCCTACTGATAAGGCTGTCATCTCACTTCTGGGTTTTTGGCTTTCATTTGCAACTATTTTTAGATCAACTAGTTGTGCCTAGTAATTGAGGCACCAATGTAAAATGCTAAATGACCTGTCTTGAGTTTAATAAGCTGTTTCCTTGCTCTATTGTCATAATTTATAGAATTTTCTGTTGTTATTTTTGTTTTTATTTCCCTCTTCACAGGAAGTGTCAACTACCTGAACTCAGCCATGTGTTCTGGCAATTCGTTGCTGATGTTCTATGGGCTGCTCCAACGTGGTGGTAAAGAGCAGTGTATAACCACCTTGATTGTCTCACTGCACTAAAACAAAGTAAAATCTGTGGGTATTTCAGACATTGTCTGGTGTGGACAGTCAGGGGTTGTCCACACTGTGTCTAAAAGCCTACCTACAGTGTACATGCTAAACCACAGTTGTTGCTGATGTGGTTTTACCAGACTTATTGGCAACATGTACTAAACCCCAGTGACAGCTAGAATGGTTTTACTAGACCAGAGTGGGTATAGATGGCTCTTTCTAAGAGATACTCACTCTGTAGTGGAAAATCACTGTACATCACAGATACCCTGAAGGAAGTGTGTATAGGCATGTTTGAAGAGCACAGCTCCCTGGAAATAAGCCTTACATATTTGTTGAAGCTATATTGGAGTATGACATTGGAAAAAAATTAGTGGAGTTGCCTGTTGTGTCTGCATCATTCAGGCTGCAGAATGTGTGGCTTCAAGCATAATTTGAATGGTGCTTACTTTATCTGTACACTGTTCTCTGTTTACAATGAGGATAGCAGTCACACAGTCTGCTAAAACATGGCAGCATTTGCATGAAATTTGAAGAGCAATTGTAAAAGCTCTATGTATTTATTTCATTGAGCAAGGTAGAAATATGTTTGTAGCTTATGTACAGCTGAAAGAGAAGACAGCTGTCTTTGTTCCCTAAAGCTTGCAATATGAATGTAAAAACATGGTCTTGGGCAGGAAGTGTCAGGAGTCGGATTGTATTGAGCAGTGTGCTTGGCAGTAGCCTAACTATCAAGTTTCTTAGGAGAAATCAGAGCAAAAAAGTTTTAAGGAGAGTTCAGGAGGAAGTAAAGTGAAGTTTGGAGCGGTTTAATAGTTTACCTCACATATGAGTGCAGAATGAGTAAAAGCCCAAATATAAGGAGGAACCAAAGAATGCATTTGTACATTTATATCGTCAGATTAATTCCTGAAAATGCTGAATTGAGTTGACATTCTGGATGAATGGGACTTGAATGAGACGAGAGCTGGGGAAAGAAGTTTCAATAAGCAAGGTGATGACCTTGGACAAAAGCTCTAAATTGTGAAGATGAATGTTCAATCTTGGAAATATGTCAAAATCTTTCTTATTGTTTTTGTATGTCTGAATGTGAGGGTCTGGAGCAAAATTAGAGTTGAAAACGAAGAGTTATAGGTTGAGTGGTAGGCTAAATAGTAATTTTTACCTATATTGATGGAGCAGAACGTTTGTAGAGCTGAGGCTGACCTGGCCTTAGCCATCCTCAGAGAAGTGTTCAACACAGATTGGGATTTTAATCTGACTGGAGGAAGAGAAGTGTGAAGAGCAGATTTGCAAGTTATCTGCACTGACATGGTGGATAAATGTGTGTATATATTGGGGCAGATACTCAGAAAGGACATCAAGCCATAAATTCCTTACCTTTTAAGCTATTCATGGATAAGCAAAGCTATAAGCATTTGATTGTACTTATTTAGTCTATTTTAATAGGTTTTCATAATATCTTTGTTTAAAATTGAAACAGAATTTATTTACCATATATATGTGTACATTCATCTGTCCATCTTGGGGGCTGTAGATGAAAAATATGTGTATTTTACTTTACACCTCCCAATGTATATCCCCTTGCAAGACCTAGATAAATCACTTGATGATGGTGTCTTTTAGAGGATTGTATATGAAATTATTATTTTTTATTCATAATTGAGATTTCTTATTTCTTCCAATTGGTTTTGCTATTGTACTTGTTTGTTCCGTCCCTGTTATCTCTCTAGTATAGTGCATGCTTAACATTTCATTTTTGCAGTTCTGTAATGCAGGGTTTTCCATTTACTGGCATAACCTCCTTGACCTTAGAGATACTCATTCCACACATATCTGTTGTAGCAATTTTTTTGCCATAAATGTTCATTCATCTTCTCAACTGAAAATCTTGGAATTGTAAGAATAATGCCATCTTTTTCTTTTTTCTTTTTTCCTTTTTTTTTTTTTTTTTTTTTTTTTTTTTTTTTTTTTTTTTTTTTTTTTTTTTTTTAGTCTATGATAAATGGAATTGCTCTCCAAAATTTTCTTCTGATAGTTGAATTCAGTAATTTGAAATAAGACTAATAGTT